CCCGTACATAAATTGGGATATAGAGACTAGAACTTCAGCAAAGGGAATCAGGTTTTTGAATGTGTTAAATGACACCTTTGTGTCACAACTGGTACAAGCATTAACTAGAAATATGCTTGTCTGGATCTCGTTATAACAAACAATGTTGATCTTTTACATACATACAAATTAGGTGGAGAATCTTGGTTCGTTGTACAATGGCATATAAATTATGTTAAAGACTGTAAAGACAGAAATAGAAACATAGAATGTGACGGCAGATAAGAACCATTCGGCCCATCTAGTCTGACACAATCTAGTGCAATATCGTAAAGTGCAATAGTGGCTTTGAATATAGTTTGTAGTGGGTACTTACAAACCAAGAGCCAAACGAAACTGGCTCAATTTGGACGCCTGTGGGATAGTTGTTAGGGTTCCCACTCCCTCTTTTTGTAGCAGCTTGTTCTGTATCCCTTATATTAAATAAGAAGAAAGGACCATGTCCACAGAAGCCAAGATTCTCCACCTAATTTGTATGTATGTATATGTTTTAATTTTTATGTGGATTGAGGGATTACCACATAGGTGTTTGCGAGTAATTTGGTATAAATTGAACCCAAGATTCTCCACCTAATTTGTATGTATGTATATGTTTTAATTTTTATGTGGATTGAGGGATTACCACATAGGTGTTTGTGAGTAATTTGGTATAAGTTGAAATCACCCGCTGTAACTCAGTAATTGTATTACAATGTTGATCTTTTGACCAACATTCAAGTAGGGAAGCATTTGGGAAATAGTGATCACAATATGGTAATTTTTTTAATAAACTCAAAAAAGTAAAATCACGTGGGGTATACTAAAAAGTATAATAAAAAAAAAAAAATCCAATTTCAATAATATTAGGGCAGCTATACAACATATCGACTGGCATAAACTCCTTAGTGGAAAAAAACATTGAGGATAAATGAAAACTATTCAAACAAATATTAGAAAGGTACAGAATGTACCATTGGGTAATAAATATAAAAGAAAAAAAAATTAAACCAATGTGGCTTAGTAGAGAAGTAAAACAAGAGATTAAAAATAAAAAAAGGGCATTTAAAGTATTTAGATCGGACAAATCAGAGGCATCCTATGTAAGATACAAGGAATCCAATAATGCTTGCAAAAAGGTAATTAAAGTGGCTAAAGTAGAAAATGATAATTTGATAGCCAAAGAATGCAAAACCAACCCCAAAATTCTTTTCAAGTACATTAATTCTAAAAAAACTAAAAATTAAAATGTAGGTACACTGGAAACAGAGATGGGTCTGTTAGCTAATGAAGACCAAGAAAAGGCAGAAATTTTAAATAACTATTTTTCTTCAGTATATATATTAATGAGGATCCTATGGCAAGAGATTTGCAAATGATTGCTGCAAAAAACTTGCAGATAACTTGTGATTGGATGACTCAAGACAAGGTGCTACAGCAGTTAAAGAAAATGAATGTAAATAAAGCTCTGGGGTCTGATGGTATTCACCCACAAGTTCTTAAGGAGCTAAGTGGGGAAATAAGTGAACCTCTGTAATGAATTTTTCAAGATTCTTTTGTTTCAGGTATTGTACCAGAGGATTGGAGGAAGGCAGATGTGGTTCCTATATTTAAAAAGGGTTCAAAATCCTTGCCTGGAAATTATAGACCTGTGAGCTTAACTTCTGTGGGTTGGAAAATATTTGAAGGGCTATTAAGGGATAATATTCAGGAATTAATTGGGAAGAACGTTATTAGCAGCAATAATCAGCATGGTTTTATGAAACATAGGTCATGTCAAACTAACCTAATTGCACTCTACAAAGAAGTAAGTAAAAGTATAGATCAGGGTTTTGCAGTGGATGTGATCTACTTGGATTTTGCCAAGGTATTTGATATGGTTCCTCACAATAGGTTAGTCTTCAAACTAAAAGAAATTGGTCTAGATGAATATTCTTTTCTTGGGTAGAACATTGACTTAAGGATAGAGTACAATGAGTTGTCATTAATGGTACATTTTCAGGTTCACAAAAGTGGTAAGTGGTGTCCCTCAGGATTCTGTTTTGGCACAGCTTCTATTTAACATTTATAAATTATCTTGAAACAGTAATTGAAAGCCATGTTTCAGTGTTTGCATATGACACAAAACTTTGTAAAGTAATAAAATGTGAGCAGGATATTGCTTTGCTGCAGAGGATAGATTGGGGGACTGGGCACTAAAATGGCAGATTAAATTTAATGTAGAGAAAGGCAAAGTTATGCACTTCAGGGTCAAGGATGCACAAGCAACTTACACCTTAAATAGTAGTGAATTAGGAATAACCACACACGAGACAACAAATTTTATAACATGACATTCATATTTGCTTAAGTCTCTCTTTACTTGAACTCCACAGCAGCAAAAAACACTAGAGAGTAAACAACCAATCAGAAAACAGTAAGGAGACCCAATATAAGTCTCTTCCCAACATTCCATTTCCTCTTTCTTTGCTGCTCCGCATCAGTGCAGGTCAGAGTACCACTGCCTCCTGCTAATATTAGTAGAGGGCTTTGGGATTTTCTTATTATTGTTAATTATTTTATCTTCTTTATTGTTACTTATGTTATTTCTCATTATTGTTTATATTTTTGTATATAGTGTGGGGGGACTGATTGCTGCTTTTACCCCTCTGCTAGGGTTTTTTTAGTGTTACTCCCTCCCCCATCCCCTCCCGGTCTCTCCCCACTTTATTTCCCTGCGGGGATTCCCTCCGGCTCGGGGGCCTCGTGGGGCTGGCCGTTTGCCGCCTCCCCCGACCCTCCCGAACCCGCGGGACCGCGGAGTACGTCTCCAGCGGTCCCGTGCCTCCCTCCCTCCGGTCGTGGGGTGCTCGCCGCGAGGGCTCTACCCAACGACCGGAGCCGTTCCCACATGTCCGCCGAGTGGAGGAGGGAGCACTACACTCCCGCCCCCTTCCCCCACCCGTTCGTGCCTCTCTCCCGGACGGCGTGCTCAGGGGGTTCCCCAGCCAGTCTGGGAACCCCCCCTCTGCAGTAGTATTTTAAAGGGACAGGTGCCTTATCTCAGCCCCCCCCCCCCACCTGCAGAAAGTATATTAAAGGGACAGGGTGTTTTACCTCAGACCCCCCTCCTCCCCCCCACCACCCTTTTTAGATATCTGATTTAGGTGCCTTCTCAGTGGTCATACTGTTTTATTGTGGGGGGCCATTTTACCTGCATTTCTCCGTTCTTTGACCTTCCACCTAATGTCTTTTATGCGCTCTATGTCCATAAGTTTGGCCTGCTTTGTCTGTGCCCATAGATTGGCCTGCTTTGCCTGTGCCCATAAGATTGGCCTGCTTTGTCTGTGCCCATAAGATTGGCCTGCTTTGTCTGTGCCCATAAGATTGGCCTGCTTTGTCTGTGCCCATAAGATTGGCCTGCTTTGTCTGTGCCCATAAGATTGGCCTGCTTTGTCTGTGCCCATAAGATTGGCCTGCCTTGTCTGTGCCCATAAGATTGGCCTGCTTAGTCTGTGCCCATAAGATTGGCCTGCCGTGGCAGTGCCCATAAGATTGACCTACTCGGTCTGGGCCATAAGATTGACCTGCCTTACCTGTGCCCATAAGTCTGTTTGACCTCTACTACATACATATATATTTGGCACCTAGACCCGTACGGCTGCTGGCCGAAGATAACATATAGAGGTTTTTTTTCTACTGGGATCACATATAACACTAGCGCCAATCTCAATTACTCCAGTATATCCGGGTGACATGTGTTTTTTCTACCCCCCAGGCTCACTCTGAGGTCAAGATGGACACTCCTACCCAAGAGAGCCTACAGGCTATGATCAACGCGGCCGTTGCCACTTCAGTGGAGAAAGCACTCTCGCGCGCACTACCTAGACCATCCCAGGACAGGGATGTACCGGAGACTCAGTGCACACTGATGGATTCCGACCCTGGCTCCCCGGACGGAGAACAGGCACGCCCCCCCCAAACGCTGCTGGAAGGGTGAAGACCCGGAACCGAGTTCCCGGAACGGTAAGGCCCCTGCAAAAAGACCTAAGGGGGCGATTGCCTCGCCTTCAACACACCGACGATATTATCTCCCTCGAGAGGAGGAAGAGTTCCCCCCACCTACACCCCTGTCCGTCCTAGACGAATGGCGGCCAGATCAATCCCCCTCAGAGGACGAAGGGGGCTGGGACATAGAGGAACCGGAGGATTCAGCGTACTGGCAGGACGCTGATGAAGAGGCCTCACTACATTTACACCCCTCCTTAGAGGAGGACGTTTTCCTGGACTCGTCAGGCGAACCTTTATTTGATCCACGCTCCATCCGGCACCCCAGATCTCCTGAGTGGTCACTACCGGACCACCTAGCCCAGTTCGTACATTTTTGGATCCGCAGACCCCTCGATTGGGCAGTGCGGAAGAGACTCAGGACTGAGTGCCCTAGACCCACATTACCGGATAAGGTCGATCAGACGCCTGAATTCGACCCAATGGTCTACACATACCTGTCTCGTACCGGGCGCGATCCCAAGAAAGGGGTCGAGCGCAATCTCCGCCTGGCACAGGATAAGGTGCTGTACATTTTAGGACCGCTGTCACGGATCCTTACCTTGGCGGATGAGGCTGTTTCCCAGGGCTCCACCCTGGACGCTGCGGCAGTAAGAGATTGGGCACTACGTTCCGTTTGCCTGCTGGGCAATTCCAATGTAGCTTTGTGCACGGAACGAAGGAGGGCAGTCCTTATGCGCATGGACTCCAAATTGTCGGAGTTTGGTTCCAAGGAATTAGGACCGTTAGCCAAAGGGCTACTTTTTGGGGAACCCTTCATCAAGGAGCTCCAGAAGCACGTCAACCTCTACACCACCCTGAATAAAGCCCAAGCTTCAATGAGGAGGGTGTTCCGCACCAACACCTCCCGTGTTTTTGGCAGGACTGGAAGGCAGCGGGGTCGTGCCTCCAGCCGCTTCTGGCCATCTAGCCACCGAGGATGCCGTCCACCTGCCTTCTTCCCCAGCTACCACTCTGGATTCTTCAACTCACAGAGGTCGTACCGTGACAGAGGGAACTGGACAAGCGGTAGAGGCAGAATGCCCGCAGGTGAGACATGTTACACCTCATGTTCCCCCCAGTCTGTTGCATGCCGGCAGGTTACGTTTTTGTCTCGACAGGTGGCGGGACATCACTTCGGATGCTTGGATACTCCAAACCATCCGAGGTTACGTTATAGACTTCCATTCAACCCCGATTCAGGAGAGGGTCCCCTCGCCTCCAGTATCGTCAAAGGCACTGCAAGTCCTGATAGACACCGAAATACTAGCTCTGTTCGACAAAGGGGCAGTGCAGTGGGTGCCGGATGCCAGGGGTTTCTTCAGCTCGATTTTCCTAGTCAGGAAAAAGACAGGGGACTTCCGACCGGTCATAAATCTGAGGAACCTAAACGCCTTTGTTTCCTACCAACACTTCAAGATGGAGGGCATTCATCTTTTAAGAGACCTACTTCACCCAGGAGATTGGTTCACTCGTCTAGACCTGAAGGACGCATACCTCTCCGTACCGGTGGAACCCGTTGCCGACGTTTCTTACGGTTCATCTGGAAAGGGAGACCATGCCAATTCACATGTCTCCCCTTCGGCCTCAGCTCGGCTCCCTGGTGTTTCACCAAACCAATAACAGCATGCCTGCGCTCAAAGGGCATTCGGTGCTTGATCTACCTGGACGATCTGCTTCTCTTCTGCGAGGACTCCTCCAGACTGAAATCTCAGACGCACTTCGCGGTCTCCTTGTTCGAATCCCTGGGGTTTGTGGTCAACCGAGAGAAGTCGGCCCTCACACCAACGCAGGTGGTTCAATTTTTGGGGTTCGAGATAGATGCGACCCAGTGCATTCTACGACTCCCTCAGGCAAAGATCTCAGCAATTCGGAAAGAGATCCGACGGATTCTCCGTCAAGAGACGATTCCTCTCAGGGTCCTGGCACGGGTGGTAGGCCTGTTTTCCGCTTCGATCCAGGCCATTTACCCAGGCCCCATTCACTACAGGGCCATGCAACGCCTGTAGGCACGTTTCCTCCGCAGGAAACCCTCATACGACCAGCTGATCACCATCACACAGGAAGTCAAGACAGAACTTCGTTGGTGGCTGTTACATATGTCAGCCTGGAACGGCAAGGCGATTTTCGGTCTGACCCCGGACTTTGTCCTGGAATCGGATGCAAGCCTATGGGGCTGGGGAGCGACCTGCGCGACTGCCTCCACGGGAGGACCTTGGTCAAGCACGGAAACAGGTTACCACATCAACTGTCTAGAGATGATTGCGGGCTCGTTCGCGATACGGAGCCTGGCGGGTCATCTGTCGGATTGCTGCATCCTGCTGAGAATGGACAACGTGTCAGCAGTACAGCATATCAACCGCCTGGGAGGAGCGCGCTCTACACTCTACAAGCGGAATATCTCCCAGGTGTGGCGAACCTGACGGCAGACTGGTTCTCCAGACACTGGAGGGATGCCAGCGATTGGCGTCTTCACTGACCAATTTTTCTCGAAGTGGCACGACGGAGAGGCCCATTCTCGGTGGATCTGTTCGCTTCCAGGACGAACCTCCAGATTTCGAAGTACTTTAGCTGGCTCCCGGATCCGATTTGCGCGGCAGTGAATGCCTTTCTTCAGGATTGGCCGGCACAGGGAGCCTATGCATTTCCACCATTCACTATGATCTCCAGAATTCTTAACGGACGGACATCGCTGGTGTTACTGACGCCCCTTTGGCAGGGCCAAGCTTGGTTCCCAGAACTACTGGAACTGTCATACTGAGACCCGCTCCTTCTCCCGTCCCCGCAATTTCTTCTGTTGGATTCTCAGGGCAACCATCACCCCCTCGTGCTGGAGGGCCATCTTCACTTGGTGGCTTGGACTCTTTCAGGGGTACCTGGAATGTCGAGGAATTATCGGGAATGGCTAGAAACCTCCTCTGGGACTCATGGGCCACGGGAACGAGGAGATGTTATCTGTCCGCATGGAGCATATGGTGTCGCTAGTGCATGGAACGGAGTACCGATCCCTTTACAGCACCTGTATCCAGTGTACTGAATTTCCTTTCCTACCTTTTCGACCAAGGGAGATCATATCGCTCAGTCAACGTTGCCAGATCGGCCATTTCAGTGGCGCATGTTCCTCTTCAGGGGACACCCATTGGTCAAGACCCTTTGGTTTGTAGACTGTTACGAGGAATCAGACTGTCACGCCCACCGACTCCTAAATATACATCACTCTGGGATGTACACAGAGTTTTGGACTTCATTCAAGCGTGGCCGGAGAATCAGGACCTTTCTCTACGACGGTTATCGGCCAAGTTCACACTTTTGTTATGCCTGGTATCGTTTCGTCGGGTCTCCGATGTTCGGGCTTTTGATGTTAACGCATTCACTTTTTCCCCGGATGGAGTGACCTTTACGGTGTCGAGACGTACCAAATCCGACTCCTCTACCATTTTCTACCCCTTTTTTCGAGAGGCGCCGAAGCTCTGTGTGGTTTCTGCTCTGTGTAGTTATGTGGCGGTTACTAACCCTCTTCGAAGTTCCCTATCAAGACAACTGTTGATATCGTACGTACGACCACATAAACCGGTATCTACCATTACCCTGGCTCGTTGGATCAAATGGCTCTTGTCGTTGGCTGGCGTGGAATCCTCCTTTGGCGCTCATTCAGTAAGAGGCGCGGCGGCATCAGGAGCCCTGGTAGCAGGTGCTTCCCTGGCCGATATTCTACGTTCAGCAGACTGGTCTCGAGAAGACACATTTCGTCAGTTTTATTTCAGACCTTCAGAACATGCAGCCTTTGCCCTACTGGCTGAGCGTTGAAACTGCAAATATGAAGCCTCCTGTCAGGTTATAAAATTGTAGATTACGCTAGCTTTAGTGTACCTATAATCTTAATTTTATTAATGACAGGAGAATATTTCCCACCCTTTGTTTTCCCGACCCTTGTGTGTTGTATTATCTGTCAGACCTATATTAAAGAATTACAATTCTGATCAGTGTTTGTTGTGGTTATTTCCTTTATACATTCTCAATTTCTGCCTGGGTCAGGGACTGTTCGCTATAATTTTACTCTGGGTGGCTGCATGTTTTTACACATACCTTTCATCAACTAATCAAGATTTTCGATTTCTGTTTATTTCATTTCAGTGTAAAAGTCCCAGGATGGACTCACACACAAGTTTCGACTCGGTTGAAGTTTCCTAGGAGAGTCGTTGGTTTCTATCAAGAGATGGACCCCCTTTTGTTATTGTTATGTTATGTTATTTTTCCTCGACTGTGTGTTGTTGTCGCAGCTTGAAAGAGGAAATGGAATGTTGGGAAGAGATTTATATTGGGTCTCCTTACTGTTTTCTGATTGGTTGTTTACTCTCTAGTGTTTTTTGCTGCTGTGGAGTTCAAGTAAAGAGAGACTTAAGCAAATATTCGCCTCCTGTCAGTAGCATAATCTACAATTAGGCAGCAACATGCAAAGTCAAACTTAGTACTGCCCACAGGGTTTTACAGAACAACCAATAACACACGTACATTACACACATACACTCCCACACAACATCCTCCCCTCTGCCTGTGATATGATTACTGAACACAATGGTTAATCTAATTATCACAGGCAGAGAAATACAGTATTATAAAACATATTACAGGGACCCCAAAACATGCAATAACCCCATAAAATATCATCGGAACCGGGGGATCTGGGTGAACCACATATCCAAAATTCACCCAGATCCGTTCAGTAGTTTGGAAGATGCAGTTTAATGCAGATTCCGCAGAACATATACAGGCTATATGAAAAATAATAACTGTATAATGTGTCCCCTGTTGTATGGTTTAAAACTATTGAACGATGTCTTCGTGCACCAAATACTGGCGAGATGGCACCATGTAGAAAAGTCCAAACAGTGTCTGTTAGTTAAAATGGCCGCCATCCATTGTTCTCACCATGTGCCTCTGATACATGAAATGATGGCCACCCAGTAACTCCACAGTATGTACCCAGATGGTTCTTAAAGGGCCAGTAGCAGCATAATAAAATACAATATGCCCAAATACTGTATTTAAAGGGCCAAATCTCCCAGGGCCATCGTCAGCAGGCAGGAGGCGGGCAAACAGGCTTCTCCAATGCCCAGTGGCGAAGTTGGTTTCGCCACAGAAGGAATTGGGAATTTTAATAAACAAATTAGGCGGCAATATGCAATGTCAATCTGCAGTTGCTAAGGCCAGCAAGGTTTTGTCATGTATAAATAGCGGCATAAATTCTCGGGATGAAAATATAATTTTGCCTCTTTATAAATCGCTGCTAAGACCACACCTTGAATATGCTGTGCAATTTTGGGCACCTGTTCTAAAGAAGTCACAGTGTGATGGACCTGGCACCCCGATGCTCCTAGTGCTCACTGAGGTCACCAAGCACTCCACCCGACACAATCAGCACCGTAGCCCCCACGTCCAGCGTTACAGCTTGGCTGGGAACTTGCCGTCCTCCACCCACCCTGGACCCAAGACCAGGATTCAGCTTCCAGTGGGTGAACCTCTCCTACTCCGGAGAGCGTAGCAGCAACAGCTCTTAAAAGAGCTAGCGATTATAATCCCAGGGGAGTATAGTGATATAGTAATCCCCAGGGTAGATACAGCCTTTTCCCCCACACATGAGGTGAGACTCTATGTTGAGGGTAAAACAGGAATGCAATTTTAATGGAGGCACACTGGCCTTGTATGCAAGTTTCCCAACAAGGGTGACACTCAGGTGGACCTTGTTGGGCATAGGGACACAAAGTTAACAAACAGAGTTATACAGTGAAACACTCCCATACAGTGTACACAATCCCTCCCTTCATTCTGGGAGATAATTATGGCAGATAATGTATTAACTTAATTATCCCTAGGCAGAAAAAAACACATATTTTTATAAAGTCTCATAAGTACCCCAAAACACAGCATATCCCCATATATCACATCCCCTGATCTGGGTGAAGAACATATCCAAAAATCACCCAGATCAGAGTAAGGGTTCAGGAATTCCCTGGAAATCTCTTTTTGATTGACTACACGCATGGTTTCATGCCCAAAATAGTTCCAGAGAATTAGGCTGTGCGGTCGGTCTTTTTCAAATGGCGCTGTTAGTGCACAGAGTCAGTGAGTGTATCCAGTACGGTAGATTACTTCTACAGAACGACGCTCCATTTGTGCAATTCTAGTCTAACCTAACTTAATTCCTTAATTCTCTTGATCTCCAGCAGTTGTCAGCTGATATTGATTCACGACTGCTGTCCATCCCTTCCCTCTCCTGTCCTTCACTGGCCATCTCCACGTATAACTCTACCCTCACATCTGCCTTGAACGCTGCATCACCGCTCCAAACAAACACCTCGAGGAGGACCTGCCCCCAACCATGGCATACTAAATCAACTACCTGCAAAGATGCTCCCGATGTGCTGAACGCTCCTGGAGGAAGTCTCGCACCCAGTCAGAATTTCTCCATTATAGATTCATATTGTGTTCATACAGTGCAGCTGTTGCCCTTGCCAAACAGTCCTACTTTTCCTCTCTCATTAGTTCATGCTCCCGCAATCCTAGGCGTCTCTTTGACACCTTTAATTCTCTTCTTCGCCCTGCTGTGGCCAACCCCCAAATTAACCTTACTGCTGATAACTTTGCATGTTACTTTACTGACCAGATTGAACAGCTAAGGAAAGAATTCTCTCCTCCTTGACATTCTGTTTCTCAACCACACATAGATCTTTCCTACCCTTCAGACATTCTCCCTAGCTACTGACCAAGAGGTGGCTGCTCTTCTCTGTTCCTTTTGCCCCACCATTTGCCCACTCGATCCTGTCCCATCTCACCTTGTTAGATCTCTCTCCACTTGTCTCATGCCTTCCTTAACACACATCTTCAACTGCTCTCTCTCTTCTGGCCTTGTCCCTGCTGACCTTAAACATGCCACTGTAAAAAAAAAAAAATCCCTCGACCCGTCCACCCCCTCTAACTATCGTCCCATATCCCTGCTCCCTTTTTCCTCAAAGCTACTGGAAAGACTTGTCTTTACCCGTGTGTCTCATTTCCTCAATTCCAACTCTCTCCTTGACCCCCTTCAATCTGGTTTCCGCCCTCTCCACTCTACTGAGACTGCGCTTATCAAAGTTACTAACGACCTAATCGCAGCTAAATCCAAAGGGTACTACTCCATACTAATTCTTCTTGACCTCTCAGCGGCCTTTGACACCGTTGATCATGCTCTCCTTCTTCAAACTCTTTAATCACTTGGTCTCTGTGACTCTGTCCTCTTGTGTTTTTTCCTCTCATCTCTCCCAACGCTCATTCAGTGTCTCTTTTTCTAATGATACCTCCTCTCCTCGTCCTGTCTCGGTTGGAGTCCCCCAAGGCTCTGTCCTTGGTCCCCTCCTATTTTCTCTTTATACTGCCTCTCTTGGCAAACTTATTACCTCTTTTGGATTCCACTACCACCTGTACGCTGATGACACCCTTGGACCTCTTCCCTGCCTTCCTGCAACGTGTCACTGCTTGCCTTTCTTCCATCACTGACTGGATGTCCTCCCGCTTTCTGAAACTCAATCTCTCTAAAACTGAGCTCCTTGTCTTTCTTCCTCCTAATACTGATCCTCCTCTTTCGCTCTCCCTTCAAGTTTGTGGTACCCACATCAGTCCATCCTTGCAAGCGTGCTGTCTTGGCGTCATACTTGATTCTGGCCTCACCTTTGAGCCTCACATCCAGCATGTTGCCAAATCCTGTAGATTCCATCTTAAAAACATAGCCTGCATCTGCCCCTTTCTGACACCAGATACTACCAAGGAGCTTGTCCATGCTCTAGTAATTTCCCGCATGGATTATTGTAACCCTCTCCTGATTGGTCTTCCCAAAAGCCGTACTGCACCACTACAGTCCGTAATGAACGCTGCTGCCAGACTGATTTTCCTCTCTAGTCGTTTCTCTCACACCTCACCCCTCTGCCAGTCCTTACATTGGCTTCCTGTATGCTATAGGAGTCAATTCAAGGTACTAATTCACACCTATAAAGCACTGAACAACTCTAGCCCCTCTTATATCTCCTCTCAGATCCATAGGTGTGTCCTTGCTCGGTCTCTCCACTCTGCCCGTGACCACTCACACTTGCAGGACTTCTCGCGGGCGGCTCCCTTCCTATGGAATAGCCTGCCTACCACCATCAGACTCTCCCCTAGTCTTGCATCTTTTAAGAAGTGCCTTAAAACCCATCTCTTATGGCCTCCAACACTAACCTCTACCTCACATACCTGTCTCTTGCTCTCTCCTAAAGGGCAGCCCACCTTATTCGACTGCAAATTCCTCTCCTAATGTGTTTTACACCCCACCTCCTATAGAATGTAAGCTCGATTGAGCAGGGTGCTCTTCAACCTATTTTTCCCATAAGTTTATTTGTAGTTGTCTTATTTATAGTTAAATCCCCTCTCATAATATTGTAAAGCGCTACGGAATCTGTTGGCGCTATATAAATGGCGATAATAATAACTGGAGATAGAAGTCCCAGCGGTGTTCGTGCCACCAAGTGTCAGATTCTAATTCCATGCGCTCGACGACAAAACACCGCTGGACGCGTCTGACTAAACAAGATGGCCGCCGCCACCTGTTCGACTACACGAATGGCGACCACCCAGCCGTTCGTCAATTAAGCTTCGGTTAACCACACCTTCTGGGAGATTAACGAGCAGCACACTCCACTTGACGGTGGTCCGGCTGTTCAACAGTTCGAAGTCCCGCTTCGAAAGTTCGAAGTAACATTGTCCAAAGTCCCAATGGACACAAATAGTATTTTTAACCCAAAGTTCACCACAGGGCATGAGGTTGACAAACAGGCCCCTCCAAAAACCAGTGGCGAGGTCACTTTCACCACATACAGTAAGAGCAATAAGGATCTGGAATTCTCTGCCTGAAGAGGTACAGATGTTAAAACTGCAATTGGATAAATACTTGCAAAAACATAACATACAGGGATATAATTGCTAATTAGTGGGGTCGTAGCTACTTGATCCAAGGAGACATCTGACTGCTATTTTGGGGTCAAGAAGGAATTTTTTTCTAGTTTGGAAATTGGAAGTGCTTCAGACTAGGTTTTTTGCCTTCTTTTGGGTCAACAGCAAAAACATATGTGAGGAAGGCTGAACTTGATGGACGCAAGTCTCTTTTCAGCTATGTAACGTGTGTGTATGTGTGTGTGTTCTCCAAGAAAAGTACACTCACAGGACTCTGTAGATGATTTTCCAATCTTTTATTGTGCAATATAGATACACCACATGCGTGTCAACGTTTCAGTCCTCTGTGATAGGGAAATTATTTACAGAGTCCTGTGAGTGCACTTTTCTTGGATTTTGTACATTTTGGCTGAAGTAAGCACCCAGGCAAGCACAAGACCATAATAGAGAGTGCCAGAACCACGTGGATTATTATTTTATTTTTTTGTATATATATATCACAATGCACTTAGAATTAAAATTATTTTTATATATATTTAATTTTCTACATGTATATTTATGTATGATTTGTTACATAATTATATTACCTTATTAATTATATATTGGGGGCCCTGCCTGATAATCCAGGCAGAAAGTTCAGAGAATTTAATTCGCAAGCCACAGCAACATAGGCCCAGAAAATTTCAAGGAATGAAGACTGAAATGATCATGCCCTAATTTGACCCAGTAACTTACCAAAACCCCATAAACCTGTAAATGTTGTGGGTACTGTTGTACTCATGAGACATCGCTAAACACAAATAGAACTGTTTTACAGCAGTAACTTTTAATGACAATATCAACACTAAATTTGGACAGGATTTGTGACTAAGTGGCTACTAAAAATAAACTCCATTTTGAATTGCCTATGTTTTCTACTTTTGCAAATGGTAGGCAATGATGGGGGTAGTTTTAATTACTGGTCTCAAAGGCGACATAGGCCCAGCAAACCAACCTGGCAAATTTCAATGTGTAAAAACTGAAATGGCCTAGCCCTATATTTTACCCTGTAACTTTCCAAAACCCTATAAACCCTGTACATGCGGTGCACTGTTGTACTCGTGAGATATCGCTGAACACAGATATGGGTATTTTTTTTGCAGTAAAAGCTTACGGTATTATGGCATTCACAGTTAAAATGAAATGCAGAACATCATTTTTAATTTTTCACCTTTACTTTTATTAAATTTACATTGTTTCATATATAAATATTTTATGTGAAATTAAAGTACTATTTTTCCTGAACAAAACGATCTATAATAAGTGTGGGTGCACTTAAAATGAAAGAGGTAAATTATGGTTGAACAGACATATAGTTCAAAACCCAGGTTTTGTTTTGGTTCAGAATTTGTACAATTGCCTTCATCCTTAAACGAACACTCCAGTAAACAAAACAACTTCATCTAAATTAAGTTGTTATGGTGTCAGGAGGCACTCTTACCGTAAGCTGAATTTTCATGTCTGCAAGATTGATATATCTCATATTACCTTAAAGAGACATGAATAGAATTTTTTTTTTTTTTTCCCTAAATGCACTCAAGGTAAGATATTCTTTGAATAATCTAGTATTAATAACCCAGCAGCTGCGCCCTGATTCATTCGATGAGTACCAGAAATTTTAGATATTTACTGTGGCTGCAAGAGCATTATGGAATTTAATTTTGTTAAAATTGTCATTATATTACATAAAAAAATGTACTTACAGTTTTTTAAGGGGGACACATAGGGAGCCAGTAACTGTATGAGATACCTTAGACCCCCCAAGTGCCCCATAACACTTACTGAAAATGTTTCCCCTATCCTGTGTTCAGCATCTTCAGATAGGATCTTGGGCAGTTAAGAAAGTTATTTTGAAAACTAATAAATATTTCAATTATGTACTTATTTGATTTAGATAAGCATTTTATGACGGAGATATTCTTATTGTTTATCCTCATTCTATGTACTTACTAGCACCTTTTAATTTACTTGCATTGTAAAGAAACCATCCCAACTATAGTACTAAATACATTTAGCATATCATTTTAGAATTTTAATTATCGTCTCCGGCTGACGTCTGTTTTGTTCTTTTGTTTTACAGGAGTAAATGTTGAAACAATACATCAAAGGTGAGCCCACTCTTTTGAAAATAAAATCAAATAAGTATAACTATTATCCTAATTCTCATTTTTAATGAAAGCTGTCACATTTCATAAAGAAAAAGTCAAATGTAAAATGCATGTAACTAAAGAGTAGGCCAGATTTTTTTACAAAGTGCAGTCCGTTATGGAAGATATAAAATATAATAGAGGAATCAAAGGGGTCTTAAAGGACCACTCTAGGCACCCAGACCACTTCAGCTTAATGAAGTGGTCTGGGTGCCAGGTCCAGCTAGGGTTAACCCATTTTTTCATAATTATAGCAGTTTCAGAGAAACTGCTATAATTATGAATGGGTTAAGCCTTCCCCCTAATCCTCTAGTGGCTGTCTCATTGACAGCCACTAGAGGCGCTTGCGATGCTTCTCATGATGATTTTCACAGTGAGAGCCGCATAGCGTCTATAAAGCATTGTAAATGCTTTCCTATCGCGACGAGCTGAATGCAGCAGCTCAGCACTCTTGGCGTCGCATTCAACTTGTGAAGGCGGTCGAGGCCCGGAGAGGAGGAGGAGAGCTCTCCGCCCAGCGCTGGAAAAAGGTAAGTTTTTACCCCTTTCCCCCTTCCAGAGCCGGGCGGGAGGGGGTCCCTGAGGGTGGGAGCACCCTCAGGGCGCTATAGTGCCAGGAAAACGAGTATGTTTTCCTGGCACTATAGTGGTCCTTTAAGAGAAAAAAAAAATTCTAAAACTATTGAGCACTGTAATTCTAATGAGGGGTTAAAAATGTAAAGTTCTACACTTCTAGATATGTCTCAATGGTACTTGCAACTGCATGTCTTAAAGGACCACTCTAGGCACCCAGACCACTTCAGCTTAATGAAGTGGTCTGGGTGCCAGGTCCTTCTAGGGTTAACCCATTTTTTCATAAACATAGCAGTTTCAGAGAAACTGCTATGTTTATCAATGGGTTAAGCCTTCCCCCACTTCCTCTGGTGGCTGTCTGTTGACAGCCACTAGAAAGCGATGCTTCTCACTGTGAGTTTTCACAGTGAGCGCATAGCGTCCATAAGCATTGTAAATGCTTTTCTATCGACGGCTGAATCTTGTAGCGCAGCTCTTGCTAACGGCGATGCGCTGCGTCCTTTGGCGAAGAAGAGAGAGGAAAGCTGAGATCCGGTGAGAGAGGAGGAGAGCTCTCCGCCCAGCGCTGAAAAAGGTAAGTTTTACCTTTCCCCCCTTCCAGAGCGAGGTAGGGAGGGGTCCCTGAGGGTGGGGAACTTACCTCGAAGCTATAGGCAGATGCCAGGAAGCAGTATGTTTTCCTGGCACTATAATGATCGCTAAGAAAAAAAATTCTAAAACTATTGAGCACTGTAATTCCTAATGAGGGTTAAAAATGTAAAGTTCTACACTTCTAGATATGTCTCAATGGTACTTGCAACTGCATCTTAAGGACCACTCTAGGCACCCAGACCACTTCAGCTTAATGAAGTGGTCTGGGTGCCAGGTCCAGCTAGAGTTAACCCATTTTTCATAAACATAGCAGTTTCAGAGAAACTGCTATGTTTATGAATGGGTTAAGCCTTCCCCTATTTCCTCTAGTGGCTGTCTCATTGACAGCCACTAGAGGCGCTTGCGTGCTTCTCACTGTGATTTTCACAGTGAGAGCACTCCAGCGTCCATAGGAAAGCATTATGAATGCTTTCCTATGTGACCGGCTGAATCTTGTAGCGCAGCTGCTTGCGAGCGGCGGCATTCAACCCGGCAGAGGATGAGGAGGAAGCAGAGAGCTCCCCGCCCAGCGCTGGAAAAAGGTAAGCTCCCCTTTCCAGAGCCGGGCGGGAGGGGGACCCTGAGGGTGGGGGCACCCTCAGGGCACTATAGTTCCAGGAAAACGAGTATGTTTTCCTGGCACTATAGTGGTCCTTTAAGTGTCCATGATATACTCACCAGACATACAGTTCTACATGCCAAGGCTGAATTTTTAATCGCCAATTGCTAGTGGAAATTTTTAACTCTACTCCATGAACAGAGCTTCTGGCTCCATTGCTTCTTAGCAAAAAGCCTTGCTAGTGGAGTGGTTCTCAATCATGTTTGAGTCCCAAATTACACAATGACATTACAGTGGTGACCTAATTAGACCATTTGCTCAGTGACCCATTCTTCAGCTGCAATATAAGGCACAATTATATTTTACAAAACATCTTCTTTTTACTATTCCCAGTGTTCGCTGTGTCTGCAAAACACTCATAGGTCCAAGCACTATGACCTCTTCAGTGACTTGAAGTGATCATGGTGCTTGGAGTCTGTATGTTCAGTGTTTTGCTATGAAACACTGCACATAAAGAATTTTGCTGGCAGAGATGTAACTCCAACTTCGGCAGTTTCTTTCTGGAATTATTAGCCGGACCGGAACAAGAGTGCCAGGAAGGCTAATGTCTGTTTGGTGCATAAAAGGCATCTGACATCAGCATGCTGGCGACAGTCGTCTAGTGGTGGCATGGCCACTCTGTGCAGCCCATGTCCCTCAATCTGTTCTCACTGTGCATTTCTCCACAGAGAGGGAGAGTGCTGTCCGCATAGGAGGATCGGGCTGCTGAGAGAACTTGCATTTATCTACGGCACTGCGCCGTAGTAAAGTTTCAGTTTATTTAATTTTTCTTAAAGTGGGGGTGGGAGAATGGTTACACTAACCAAAAGCAGTCTAATTTTAAAAGTAGTAAGGCTAAAAGTAACAATTTATTGTAGGCACTTGCTGTGGTATGTTCAATATAATGTGCCTCTCCCAAACATCAGTTACCCACTGATATAGCTCATTGGCCCCTATGTTGCATCCTGGCTTAGAGGGAACCATTGTTTAAGTGACAAGCTGGTACCGTTGTCTAAGATTCAAACAAAGAAAGCGCACTTCGAAACTGAAACATTCTCCTTGTGCTCCAGAATTCTGAGGGAAAAAGAGCCAAAATACTCTGCGGTATTATACAGACAAATCCAGGTACACAGGCATTATTAAAAGTAGGACTGTCAGGATTACTGTTTGATCGAGCATGTAGAACTGTATAGCACGGATGACAAATAAGCAACGTATTACCGGTCCTTAGAATGGCCGGATTTAATGTACATAGAATAGTCAAAAATACTAGCTGAGCTCAGGGAACACAGAAAGAGACGCAGCGATGAGGAAAGCCAGTAGTCAGGATACAAGAATATAGAGACGTCAATAAACAAAGCCAAAGTCAAAAACCAGGTAGAAAACTATAAACAGGAACGCACTCTCGGACAACCACAAGGGAAACCACGACAGGGCACTGAGCAGGATGAGAACTGGGCCTAAATACCCCTCCTCTAGATCTGATAGGCTGTAACCGGCCTTTGACCCCAAAGTCAGTTACCAGGTTTCATTTGCATAATTGCTGCTCAGCATTAATCCTTCTGTGGCTTAGGTTGCTGCTCAGCACAACTTTTCCTGTGTGGACAGTAAATGTTATTAACCACATTTATATAAGCGGATGAATACGTGACAAGAACAACCCATATTAAAAGGAGTACAACCTATAGGAAACATTTGGGTTCACCCTGGTGCCTTTAGCAAAGGGAGATGTGACTAGGGCTGCAAGGGCATAATTTATCACTAAAACCTCTTCATTAAAGGACCACTATAGTGCCAGGAAAACATACTCGTTTTCCTGGCACTATAGTGCCCTGAGGGTGCCCCCACCCTCAGGGACCCCCTCCCGCCCTGCTCTGGAAAGGGGAAAAGGGGTTAAACTTACCTTTTTCCAGCACTGGGCGGGGAGCTCTCCTCCTCCGTTCCTCCTCCTGGGCTGAATGCGCACGCGCGGCAAGAGCTGCGCGCGCATTCAGCCGGTCACATAGGAAAGCATTCATAATGCTTTCCTATGGACGCTTGCGTGCTCTCACTGTGAAAATCACAGTGAGAAGCACGCAAGCGCCTCTAATGGCTGTCAATGAGACAGCCACTAGAGGATTAGGGGAAGGCTTAACCCATTCATAAACATAGCAGTTTCTCTGAAACTGCTATGTTTATGAAAAAAAGGGTTAACCCTAGCTGGACCTGGCACCCAGACCACTTCATTAAGCTGAAGTGGTCTGGGTGCCTAGAGTGGTCCTTTAAGCTATTAATGTAGACTAATATTTTTTCCAGTTATGAATGTAGTGGTTGAACCACAGAGAAGAAAACCACAGAAGAGTGTTAAGTTAGCACCAGGAACCACTAGTCCAGAACTGAATATGTTAAAGTAAATCTCCTAGATATTTTATATAGTAGTTCCATTCATCATAAGTTATTCAGTCAGTGTTGTGGCAAAATCTAAATTATTTTTTTTTAACCTATTTTATAGGGAATCCGATTGTTGTTTTCTTGGAAGACCATGGAGGATTGTTGATGGAAGCTTAAATAAGCCTGTATGCAAAGGGATGCTGGAAGCTGTTTTGTACCACATAATGAGCAAGCCTGGTATAACGGAGGCTCACCTACTTCAGCATTACAGTGGTGTTCTTCAGCCTGTTGTTGTACTGGAATTATTACAGGTATTTTGTTGTACAGGAACAAATAAACCATAGCCTGAACTATCTATCTAATTGGGTGTTAAATTAGCAGGGCATTACATCATGGAGGGAAGCCGCATAGTTACAGTTTTATAACAAATAGACTGGGAAAACTGTAGATTTTAAACCCCTCCCCTTGTATGAAATATATATATTCTTTGCCCCATCTTATTTATCCACTTTCATAGAGACATATTTTCATAGTGGCCCTGCTTCATAGGCGTGCGCACGGGGTGTGCCGGGGGTGCCTGGACACACCCTAATCAAGCCTCCATGCTGCACTGCTGGCGATTTAGGTGGCCTTGCGGCCACCTAAATCACCTTAAAGCAGACTAACATGTCAGGTCCGAGGACCCAACACAGGAAGGGAGAGAGCCAACCTTCAGTCTGCAGCTCCGCTGGGAGTGAGCTGCAGACTGAGGTGTCTCGCCATCTCCAGCCTGTCAGAGCGTTGCTGCGGGTTACTACGGCAACTCTCTGACTAGATATAGCCAGACTCACCATGTGGTCTGCAGCTCACTCCCGGCGGAGCTGCAGACTGAAGAGAGAGGGCGCCCACTGGACCACCAGGGAAGGTATTTATGAACCCCCCTCTACCCTCTGTCACTGCACCCCACCCTTTGTAACTGCTCCTCCAACCTCCCCACCCACTGCCACTGCTTCTCCACCCCTAACCCCCTGTCACTGCCCCTCCATCCTCCCTAAGCCCTGTCACTGCCCCTCCACCTCCCACCCTTTGTCACTGCTCCTCCACCCCCTGTCACTGCCCCTCCAACCCCCCTACCCACTGCCACTGCTTCTCCACCCCTTACCTACTGTCACTGCCCCTCCACCCAACCTACCCCCTATCACTGCCCTTCCACCCCCCCACTCCCTGTCACTGCCCCTCCAGCCCCCACCCCCTGTCACTGCCCCTCCATCCTCCATAAGCCCTGTCACTGCCCCTCCACCTCCCTCTACCCCCTGTCACTGCCCCTCCCCCTACAGTGCCACCGGACCACCAGGGAATATGCTGACCACCCCTCCTCCCTGGATGCAGGTAAGAAACACTTTAAAAATATATTAAAATAAGTATAATGAAATTAAATAGCTGCTCCCCTCTCAGACCCCTATCCTAGCCTGCAAAGCTACTCTCACACTACAACCCACCCCTCACAATTACTCACACACAAACACTGTAACCCACACACACTGTACCCTTCACAATTACACACACTGTACCCGCACACACTATACCTTTCGGAATTACGCACACACTGTACCTCTCGCAATCACACACACTGTACCCGTTGAAATCACACACACACTGTATCTCTTACACACTGCACCCCTTACATGCTGCACCCCTCACAATCACACACACTGCACCTATGTGTATTTGTGTGTATGTATGTGTATATATATATATATATATATATATATATATGTGTGTATGTATATATAAAAACATATACACGTGGCGTGTGTGTTTGTGCTTTAGGGTGCACACCCTAATGCAATAGGCTGCGCATGCCTATGCCATGCTTTTAATTCATTTGCATTGAACATTTGCACAGTTGTGCTCTAAAGTTTGCATATCCTTGGAGAATTGGTAATATATGTATCATGAGTGAGCAGGCAAAACACATTTCTTTTATTTCTTATGGGATTCATATTCAACTGTAGGTTATAACAAAATGTCAGTCGTAAAACAAAACATGGCAACAAAGAAAACAATTAAATGACCCCTGTTCAAAAGTCTGCACACCCTTAGTTTTACTGTGTATTGCCCCTTTAGCATCAATGACAGCGTGCAGTCTTTTGTAATAGTTGTGTAAGAGGCCCCTAATTCTTGCACGTTCGTAACCGTGCCTTTATAGCTGACACACCCCCAAAACTTCAGTGAGCCACACCATGCTTCACAGTAGGGATGGTATTCTTTTCACTATAGACCTTGTTCACCCCTCTCCAAACATAGCGCTTATGGTTGTGACCATAAAGATCTATATTGGTTTTGTCACTCCAAATTACAGTGTGCCATAAGGTGTGGGCGCGTCAAGGTGTTGTCGGGCATATTGTAGGCTGGCTTTTTTGTGGCATTGCCACGGTAAAGGCTTTTTTCTGGCTACTCGACCATGCAGCTAATTTTTGTTCGTCTATCGTTGTATTGTGCTCCTTGAAACAACCACACCATCTTTTTCCAGAGGAACCTGTATTTCTTCTGAGGTTACCTATGGGTTTTTCTTTGTTTCCCAAACAATTCTTCTGGCAGTTGTGGCTAAAAATCTTTCTTGGTATTCCTGACCTTGGCTTGGTATCAAGCGATCCCAAATTTTCCACTTCTTAATTTTAATGGTTCTTTTCTGCTCCCCATGGCTCAGTATCTAGCCTGCTCAGTGTATCCACGTGAGAGCTCACAAACTCATTAACTATTCATACACAGACACTAATTGCAATTTAAAAGCCACGTGTGTGGGAAATTAACCTTTAATTGCCATTTTAACCTGTGTGTGTCACCGTGTGTGTCTGTAACAAGGTTAAACATTCAAGGGTATGTAAACTTTTGATCAGGGCCATAAAAAGGAGCCAAACAACTATGTGATAATAAATGGCTTCATATGATCACGAACGTTCATTACAAGACTTTTTTTTGCATGATCAGTCATATTTTCAAAATTACTGCCAAAATTTCACAATTTCTGCCAGGGTATGCAAACGTTTGAGCACAACTGTATACTATACCTCATAACACTGAATTATGGCTTAACCTACAAGGTATACACATGTGAAATGAAAAGAAACTAAAAATATTAGAGATTCGTCTGGGTTGCCCGTCTGTGGTGTCGAATCAGGCCGCAGGGGGAATTTTCCCCTATTCTCCTTAATGTGCTGGCTGTCACTGCTGCCACAGCATTTTATTATGGGAGAAAAGTTTGTTTTGTTTTTTACCCTGGCATTGAGTTGCACATGCCAGTGCAAGCAGCCAACCCCATGTCAGTCCATCAGTAAGCTCCTTCTTTACAGGGGAAGGTATGACAGGTCACAGCAGCCATCCATTACAGGAAGGGAAGCAGATCCATGTATCTTGCTGATGTAATATTGGCTTTGTTGTTTATGGCTGTATGTACTGTTGGTAGCGTGTGTATGGCTTTTTATATTGGATAATGTGTGTGTTTGGCTGTATGTATTAGGCAACATGTATATAGATGTATGATCTAGGTGTGTTTGTGTATTGGGCCGTGTCTCTGTTTCCTAACTGTCTACCTAGTCTGTCTGCTTTCTCAGAATGCCTCCCCAGGTCCTTCTCTTTTCCCTAAATTTCTCCCTAGTCCATATCCTTTCCCTAAATTTCTTGCCAGTCTGTCTACTTTCCTTAAATATCTTCCCAGTCTCCCAGACATTTTTTCACTAAATATCTCACTTAAGCAAGAACAGGCAAGCAGACACTTTCTATACTCTAACTAGTTATTTTTAATATATTTTAAAACTTATGTGAAAATAGCAGAGTTGGAGACTTTATCCAATTCTTTCATTTTGGCCTAAATGTTGCAAGAATTTTTTAGCTCACTATTTAATGACAAGACAAGGAAGATTGAGATAAAGGAAAATGACAAGAGATACTGACATGGTTAGTCACTAAAGTGAATTCAAAGTGATTGTAACATTTAGTGTTAAAGTAGCTAAACTTAGCCGACTATTTTAAGCTTATAACTCTTACTTTAGTGAATATCCCTGTAAGAATAAAAAGAGACTGTCTGGATAGAATCAGTGAAGTAGACTGAGCCAAAAAAGCTTGACCTTAGAGAGTGCAATGTAGGGTAAGAAGGAATGGAAGGGAGGTGGGGGATGAAAACTGTTGACAGAGGGAATACACTGCTTGTTAAGAGAAACAAATTGACGACCCGCCTAAAATACGTGATTTAAAAAAAAAAAAAACAGACAGATGGCAATATTAGATATCATGGGATCATCTCAACTAAAACCAGGCCAGAGACAAAAATCCCTTTGAGCTAATATGTGGCCCAGGTAGTGGCCATAGATGCCCACTATCCAAAATATATCACATACTCCAAGCAGGCTTATGAAGCAACATAAGGTTTCCTATAAGCAGAAATGGATGTGAGGTTTACACATTCACATGACAGATAGGGATTGAACACATATCCTTAAAACAGGGATGTAAACCCCACTCAGTATCTCCAAAAAGGTGGCCTTCTATAAAAAGATCACCAGATGGTATAGGATCCCAGTCCTATACCTACTGACCAACGGTCAGCGACAAATGTTGGAGATGTGACAATGAGCAGGGGGATGTGGAACACATATGGTGGTTCTGCAAGCACATTAGGCCATACTGGGAACAAATACTTTCAGTCATAGAAAAGCTTGTCCCATTGAAAGCCCAATTAATCCCATCTCAAGTTCTGCTAGGGTGGCCCAACTCTTTCTGAGATAAATATAGGCAGCAACTACTGAACCTACTGCTAGAAGAGGCGAATGCATAATCCCGGTCCACTGGCATCAGACTCAGATACCAACTAGGGAACAATGTGTACATAGAGTAGAAAACATGAGGGACTTGGAGATATACATTGATCGGTACAAGGTTAAAGAAACAAATATTTACTAGTGTGGAAACCTTGGATAAAATACTGGCTACAAACTGATTGATCGGTAGAAGACAGAGGCCCAGAAACCCGAGACACTTGCACCGCCTAAAGATGGCAATGCCACATACTTACCACACCTATGAATCCCACAGAGAGGAGACCCAGACTAGAGAATGAGTACTTGGCTGAACACATAGGCACTAGTACATCTATAGTGGACAAAATAGAATGTGATCCTGTGTTTGTGAGGCGCTTATACGTATATACTATGAACAGATGGAATTAAAAGCTGCTAACACAGTATAGTAGGAACTCTCCACCCTACTTAAATGAATAAAAGAATAGTACACTATTATACCAACTGGTGTAAAACATAGTGCGGAGTGTGTAGTGCTGAATAGAATCAACACTTACCTCTAAGGGTTACAAGTATTATAATACAGAAATCCCTATAGGGGAACAAAATATAGTGCAATAAGTGGTGTGAATAATTCCAAGAGGGATCCACTCACATGATACAGAGCCTCTTGAGGACCGGCTCTGATCTCTTCCACTTTTGTGTACTAAGGGTGAGAGAGCGCACATAGCCAATACCCACACACAACGCCATCCGTGATTGGATGTAACACGAAAGACACACTGCAACCCCTCCCATCCAGGAAATATAAACAAAGACCGGCAGCATGGACATTACCGATTGAAAAAGCTGAGCAAGATCAGTGAAACGCGTCTGACATTTTCGGACAGTTGGACCTGTCTGTATAGATATATTTTTTTTTTATTTTTTTTTTATTTATTCTTTAAATAAATCTGTACCTATTTTTAAATAAGTCTGGAGATTCATCCATGCTGCTATAAAGAAGGGTTGTGACACCCTGAATTGCCACATTTGCTGATACACTCAGAGCCAAGTCAAGGGCTCTGAATAAGGTGAGAAGCTAACTTTATTTCCTTTTTAAATATTCTATTGAGGATTCCTATACCAGGGTTAGCTTTGCTTCCTTGTTCTCTTCCATTTATGTTTCCTATATTGAGGTCTTCACCTCATATGGATGCCATAGGTGTGTGTCACCTTTAAGTACACAAAAGTAGAAGAGATCAGAGATGGGCCTCAAGAGGCTCTGTATCATGTGAGTGGATCCCTCTTGGAATTATTCACACCACTTATTGCACTATTATATTGCACCATATTTTGTTTATTTTGTTCCCCTATAGGGATTTCTGTATTATAATACTTGTAACCCTTAGGGGTAAGTGTTGATTCTATTAAGCGCTACACACTCCGCACTATTTTTTACACCAGTTGGTATAATAGTGTACAATTCTTTTACTAGTACATCTATGAACACACCATACTTCTAGATAGTAGACAATGAGATCACAGAAGCATGTAACCCGCAGGATATTTACCTTCCCCCCTTTGCTGATTTACTCCCATTCTTGAGTTCAATTCCCACTTAATTACAGGGCGAAAATCACTGACTGATAGACTTGGTTGACTCAAGTTGCTTGTACATATAGAACTTATGTAGCTGCACGATAGACCTACACGCAAAGCTGGGGTCCAGGGAAGCACACCCTTAGTTACCATGGGCCAAGTGGATGATGCCTCCACAAAGGGTTCAGTAGGCAGTCTCTCCACCCACAATAGAACAGGACCCGGCTGTAGTAAGACAGACGAGGTAGCATAAGCAGAATAAAAAGAAAATCAAATTGGTTTTCCTATCACCCCAACCAACCAATAAACTGGAGGTAGGATCAGGAAAATAGGTCAGGACGGTGGTACCAGCTCCACCTAAATATGGGCTTGTACCCGGGAATTGAATATGAAAGACAGAAATAACTAAATTGGGAGGGCACCCTCAAGGAGGTCCCTCAAGTAACTGATATAAATAATAAATACACCATGAATGCAATATCTCTTGGAGAATTCTTGAAAGGTATATAGAATATAAGCAATAAAAAATTCTAGTATCTCTAACAAATCAAAAAGTATCTTAGGGCAAAAAGTGATACATATAGGGGCAAATAAGCTTTATTAACATCATAATGCCCAAAAGAAACTAAAATGTAAACGATGGCTGAATAAAATACAAACTATATCCCCCCCTTAATTGTCTAAACTGGGAGTAAGTTTGTAGCAATCCACAATCATCAGTACGATCTGCACAACCGGGAATAAAGCTTGTTATTATAAGGGAAACTGATCAATGTCTTGATCTAAAGATCCAATGAACTAAATCTGCTATGATTATACGGAGCTACTGCAATAGACACCGCTAGACTTGTTCCCTGTAAACTCCTAGAAACACCTTCGTGGGTGTTCTATGCTAAAGCTGTTCTTAAACCCGGTGTCTACATCAGCCCTCGATGAAGTACTAGATAATGCTTAGACTATATACATCAACAAAACTACTCACTACAAAAAAGTGAAAAATAAAAGATAAAAAACAAAAACAAATCCCTTCAAGTGCATAGTGCTAAGTGAAGTGAAGTGATAAAGAGCTGAAACGCCCGACGCGCGTTTCGGAGTGCGAGGACTCCTTCGTCAGGGGCTAAGAAGCTCCCGCCCAAACATCCCCAGTATTTAAATACATCAGTAGCCAATCAATGTTCAGATAATACTAACGTCAGACAATGTTGAAATTGCATCCACGTGGGGCTTTCACACTAGCCAATCAATGCACTGACCGTACCATGTCATTAGTGACGTTGTCAGAGCCCCCCACGTGGGATGTCAATTTCTCTTAACATAGGAAAATTGACAGTATGAGTGACCAATTAGAATCTCTCTCTTCACTAATGGTCACGAAAAAACAAGAAATAGTAATATCGGCTAGTAAATGAACTATGTAGAAGTTACAATGGAGCAAAGTATCGATACCTTAGTCCGTCCTAATTATTTTTATATCATTGCAAATGCTTCCAAAGACATCTCAAAACATTGATCATCAGTTTGCCCAATAGTTATAATTCTTACAAAAGGGAGATGATATCCATAAAAATAATTACCTATGATGAATGAAGATGTAATATGGCAGAAGTAATTCATAAATTAACTGTATATCGATGTCTTCATAATATTAACGATCGTAAGCCTCCGGTATAAACTAAGGGTTACTGGAGACGTCTGTCTCCAGACATGTTAAGATAGCCCACAATGGGGACCCTACAGTTCTAAAATTTCTGGGCATTGAATTGATTAAACCAGACCAGAGGAAGGGCAATTGGGACCAACGCCTGAGAAGACGTGAATGTTATTGGATTTATCGTTTGAAAACATTGTCCCCGAGGGGCCTTAATGAGGGCTTCTCATATTCTTCATTTATTTAAAAGTCTCTCTAATATTTTTATTTTGTACACCTCCATATCTTGGTTAGTCTTTCTTTCTTGATAGTTGATTCTAGCGTCTCGTTAATTCTTCACTGTTATTCACCGATGATAAGCATTATATGATAATGAAACCAGTTGCCCTCCCCCCCCCTTCCTTTTTCTTTTTACACACTATATAGCCGTCATTACACATAACTGTTGAGGAAAATACTTTCCTTTATTTGAAAGTGAACTATGTACTTACAATGGAATAATTATGGTAATCTTTGAATCCATCATGTTGTCTTATTATATGTTTTTTTCCTTAAAAGAATTATCGATACTGTCTTATGAGCTTTTGGTCACATAGTATGTTGTATTGTGCAGCTGCTCTTCAATAACCATTGACATTATTTTTCGACTTCTCTGTCATATGTTATGTAGTTGTTTTCAGCACATAAATGTGGCAGTGAATATTCTCTCTTCATTTTAAAGTAAACCATATATTGGCTATTGCAACTAGATAGTTGAAATTGCACAATTATAGCAATTTATAAATTGAATTTGCCGTTTATTATATGGTTCTCCCTTTTTAAAAAAAAATTATCGATATCCCTTTGTGATCCTTTGCTTATGCATTATATAATTATTAACAGCGCATAACTGTTGCGGCAAATATCCTTTTTATTCTAATAGCGAATTATATTTTCGCAATTGAAATTACATATACGTTAAAATTGTACAGCTATGGCAAATTAGAAACCCACTATGCTATTCTATCAGATGTTCCCTTCGTTCTATAAAAATTATGGATACTCCCTGGTAACCCTTAGTTTATACCTGAGGCTTATGATCGTTAATATTATGAAGACATCGATATACAGTTAATTTATGAATTACTTCTGCCATATTACATCTTCATTCATCATAGGTAATTATTTATTTTTATGGATATCATCTCCCTTTTGTAATAATTATAACTATTGGGCAAACTGATGATCAATGTTTTGAGATGTCTTTGGAAGCATTTGCAATGATATAAAAATAATTAGGACGGACTAAGGTATCGATACTTTGCTCCATTGTAACTTCTACATAGTTCATTTACTAGCTGATATTACTATTTCTTGTTTTTTCGTGACCATTAGTGAAGAGAGAGATTCTAATTGGTCACTCATACTGTCAATTTTCCTATGTTAAGAGAAATTGACATCCCACGTGGGGGGCTCTGACAACGTCACTAATGACATGGTACGGTCAGTGCATTGATTGGCTAGTGTGAAAGCCCCACGTGGATGCAATTTCAACAATGTCTGACGTTAGTATTATCTGAACATTGATTGGCTACTGATGTATTTAAATACTGGGGATGTTTGGGCGGGAGCTTCTTAGCCCCTGACGAAGGAGTCCTCGCACTCCGAAACGCGCGTCGGGCGTTTCAGCTCTTTATCACTTCACTTCACTTAGCACTATGCACTTGAAGGGATTTGTTTTTGTTTTTTATCTTTTATTTTTCACTTTTTTGTAGTGAGTAGTTTTGTTGATGTATATAGTCTAAGCATTATCTAGTACTTCATCGAGGGCTGATGTAGACACCGGGTTTAAGAACAGCTTTAGCATAGAACACCCACGAAGGTGTTTCTAGGAGTTTACAGGGAACAAGTCTAGCGGTGTCTATTGCAGTAGCTCCGTATAATCATAGCAGATTTAGTTCATTGGATCTTTAGATCAAGACATTGATCAGTTTCCCTTATAATAACAAGCTTTATTCCCGGTTGTGCAGATCGTACTGATGATTGTGGATTGCTACAAACTTACTCCCAGTTTAGACAATTAAGGGGGGGATATAGTTTGTATCTTATTCAGCCATCGTTTACATTTTAGTTTCTTTTGGGCATTCTGATGTTAATAAAGCTTATTTGCCCCTTTATTTATCACTTTTTGCCCTAAGATACTTTTTGATTTGTTAGAGATACTAGAATTTTTTATTGCTTATATTCTATATACCTTTCAAGAATTCTCCAAGAGATATTGCATTCATGGTGTATTTATTATTTATATCAGTTACTTGAGGGACCTCCTTGAGGGTGCCCTCCCAATTTAGTTATTTCTGTCTTTCAGCATAAGCAGAATAAGCTGTATGGTAATTAACATTGTCTATCAGGCCCGGACTGGCCATCGGGCATACCGGGCAAATGCCCGGTGGGCCGCGATGGCCGTGGGGCCGAGGCCGGCAGGGGAGATCACAGGATCTCCCCTGCCAGCCCGTGCAGGGCCAGCGCTACCCGAGCGCCGGCCCTGCTATGTGCCTCCGTGGGCCGGTGGGGAGATCAAAGATCTCCCCACCGGCCCAGAAGCATGGAAATGCGGCCGCCGGCTGGGGAGGGAGGGAGGCAGGAGAGAGGACCCGGCGGAGCTCTAACAAGCAGCTCCGCCGGGTCCTTTCGCGGGATTCTGAGCGTTGCCGTGGCAACGCTCAGATCTCGCGAGAGTGAACTCTAACCTGCCTCCGTGGGCCGGTGGGGAGATCAAAGATCTCCCCACCGGCCCAGAAGCATGGAAATGCGGCCGCCGGCTGGGGAGGGAGGGAGGCAGGAGAGAGGACCCGGCGGAGCTCTAACAAGCAGGTTAGAGTTCACTCTCACCACTGGACCACCAGGGAAGGCAGCATGGCTCCCCACCCCCCAGGGAGAACGCATCTCCACACCCCCCCCCCCAGGATAGAGGGGGGAATAATTTTTATTTTTATTATTACATTATTTTTAATTATTTTATTATTAAATTTAAATAAAAAAATACATTCACCCAGACACAGCCCCCAGACACAGCACCCCCCCAGACACAGCACCCAGACACAGCACCCCCCAGACAGACACAGCACCCCCCAGACAGACACAGCACCCCCCCAGACACACACAGCACCCAAACACACACAGCACCCAGACAGACACAGCACCCAGACAGACACAGCACCCCCCAGACACACACAGCACCCCCAGACACACACAGCACCCCCAGACACACGACACACAGCAGCCCCCAGACACACACAGCGCCCCCCAGACACACACCCCAGCATAGACACACACACACTACACCCGCAGACACACACTACACCGCGGGCACACTGCACCCAGACACACACTGCACCCAGACACACACTGCACCCAGACACACCCCCAGACACACACAGCACACACTGCACCCAGACAGCACCACACACACAGCACCCCCAGACTCACACAGCGCACCCAGACTCACACAGCGCACCCAGACACACACAGCGCACCCAGACACACACAGCACCCCCAGACACACACAGCACAGACAGCACCCCCTAGCACAGACACACACAGCACACTCATATATATATACATATATATATATATATATATATAAAAAATAACCCTCAGTGAGTTAACAGACAAAGAAAATTAGAAACCTAGAATGTGACAGCAGATAAAAACACCCTCACACACAGCACCCCTCTTACATACACACACTACGCCCCTCACACATACAATAAGTCCAAATATATATATATATATATATACATACATACACACACACACACACACACACACACTACAGCACCCCTCACAATGCACCACTACACACATTACGCTCCAGATACACACTAGATCCCTTACTCTATATGCACTCTTTATCCTCTATACACACACACACACACACACACGGGTCCTTTACACAGTAGATCTCCTACACACACACACTACATTCCTTGTCAGCAAACACATACAACATTCTCTAAACACACCCTCTCTGCAACCCCTACACACACTACGTCACCTATACACACACACTTCAGCCCGTATGCACACACTCGCTGCATCCCCTATAAAACTATGCCCCCTATACACACACTCTCTACAGCCCCTAGCCACACATATTACACCACAAACACAAATTAAATTGACCTATTTATACAATACCACACCACACTCTACACACAGGCAATCCCACAAGCAGGCTCCAAACACATGCACCATACACTTTCCTGGCCCTTTTGTCCTCTGGTATCCCACTTGTGGAGACATCAGAGACAATTTAAAAGCAAGCACCGCACAAGCATGTTATTACATTTGCTTGCGCAGCGCAGAACAAATTCAGGGCCTTTTTCTAATGCCAGAGCTCTTCAGCAGGGCTCTGGGCATTGAACCAACATGCTCACTTTGAGAGGGGGCGTGTTGTCATTAGTGATGACAAAACACACACTATTTGGCCCCGCCCCCTTCTTAGGGGGCCGCTCTGATTGAAAAATGCCCGGGCCTAATTTTTTTCCCAGTCCGGCCCTGTTGTCTATTACAGATTTTAACTAATGTCTAACTGCCCTGTGATGTTACCCCTGTGATACCCTTTTTCTGTCTATAACCCCATTATTTTATGCATTTTTGAAACAATAAAAACACTGAAATGTAAAAAAAACTAATTGGCAGTATGGAGGAAAGGGAAAACTGACCAAATTACAAATTGAAATCCAAATGGCAAAATTTAGGCCAAAATAGCTGTTTTATAAGAAGTCTTCAACTTGTCTATGGTCATAACTTAATCAGTTTTTTCCTAAACTTTGCAATTGTTTTTTCAAATTACTGCAATTCACAGTCTAGTGTTTAAACCTCTGATGGAATGTAATTGCATTCATGAGGGGATGCCAAAACCTCGTCACCTACTTAACCAAAATAGAGTACCTTGATCTCTCTTACTATAAATAAAGGTCTACCATATCTTGCTAGTGTATTGTCATAGTGGCTTCCTAAATTCACTATAAACTAACTCCAATAAGAAGGGCTAAATTGAATCCATCCTCCTTTAGTATTTCTTTAACCTACTGAGTAACATGTTGGTCTGCATTCCTAAACATAAACAGATTCAAGTCCTGTCATTTAAGTGATTTTACTTACCTTTTTTTCCAGCGCTGCGCTTGTCTCACCACAGCTAGCTCTGCCTAGTTGGTTGAGACCATCAAACTTGCTGATCTCAGCCAATCAAATGCTTTCCCATAGGAAACCATTGGTAGGATATTGCGATTGCACAGAAAAATGCTGCGCTGCTTCAGTCAGCATCTCCTCATAGAGATGAGCTGAATCAGTGCATCTCTGTGAGGAACGCTCTGCGTCTCCATGCGGAGCATTGAGATGCTGAATGTCTGTGCTGTGCAGCACTGGACTAGGAAGCACCTCTAGTGGCTGTCTGAGTGCCGCTGGAGGTGTTACTTGGCAATAATGTAAATTTTATATTAAAAAGTCTGCAAGGACAGACTATAGACACCAGGACAACTACATTAAGTTGTAGTTGTTCTGGTGACTATAATGTCACTTTAAATGTTCTGATTTCACGCACATCCCCGCTGCCCTCCCCCCCTTACAAACCTTTTCTTACATATTTATTTCTTGATTTTGTGCAGGTACTGGAACATATTGGATGCATAAAGAAGGATTACATTGAAAAACCTAGCAAGGTTTCCTTATTTTCACAATCTGTGGTTCCACAAAAGATTCAGAAACCTAAATTATCAGAAGATTCAAGCACATTTTATCATTCTACCATTGATTGCACTTTAAGACTTGGTGGGATTTTTCCATCAGAAGCTAACTGGAACAAATGGGTTTTATAGAATGTATTTAATTACTGTGAAAACAAATGTAAATTATATCAACACTGAATTACTTAATCATTTGTATTATTTGTGTTCGTAACCTGTCAATTTTTCTCAGTTTTTACTATTATGATATCTACAGTATGTAACATTTCAGAATTGCTATTTTTATGTTACTTGTTGTGTATACAAGTATATGTTGTAATGGCCATTTTTTTCTGCAATAAAATATAAACATTTCTTATATTTTAAAGTGTTACCAATAAGTTGAATTTTTATCTTCTGTATAATACTGTCACACTGTATGGCTTTTCACCAATGTAAGCATTATTAAAAGTCATGTAATAGTTATGTAGCAATGCATTTACTAAAAAGTAACATGTCCTATATGTGAACTTTGAAGAGTATATGACATGTTAAGTTTACCAGGGTTATTCACTAAAGTGAGAACTCAAACAGGCTACTTAACAAGTGAATTTCAAAGTGAAGGACGCAGAAGTAGTCGAACTGAAAGCATAAGCAAATTTTCTAATTCAGCTATATTCGCTATGCATTTTTAATTTACTCTGATTTCACACTTTAGCAAATAACCCTTTTTGAGTGCCATTTTAAAAAATAGATATATATCAATTGGCAGTGGAAGGTTTTGCAGCAGAGGACTTAGAATTACGAAGCTACTCCATGTGAAAGGCTGCGTTAGGTATTAATAAGCAGATAATTGTATAGTTCAGTATGTTTGTAAAGACAATACTGTCTGAATGATTTGTTGCAACAATTTAAGAATGCTGTCAAGAATATAAAGGAATCTTTAAGGGAAAAAAAAAAAGATGTGGGGCATGGCTACACAACGCTGGTGGATGGCAGCAAGCTTGTAAAGCTCCTCTACTACACATTATTATTATTTATAATGTGCTAACAAATTCTGTAGTACTGTACAATAGGTATACTAACAGACATGTATTTGCAACAAGGCGAGTTGACCGCACAGAAACTGAGGGTGTTGAGGGCCCTGTTCAGACAAGCTTACATCCAGAGGGAATGGAGTAAAGGCAAGGGTAGGATGTTTTTCATGCACAGGAAAAAATTGGTTACTAGAATAGTTTACAGTGAAGATTTAGGTTATTGGATGACACAGTTGCAGGAGAGGAATAAGGGTGGTGTTAAGGTGCAGGGAGGGAAAGCTATTAACAGTTTAATTGAAATTAGTTAATTAGTTTTTAATGATCTTTTGAAACTGAGACTGAGTGAAAGTCTAACAGAGCAGGAAAGGGAGTTCCATAGGAACGGCACAGCCCTAGAAAAGTCTTGAAGGGTGGCGTTCCGATGTGAGAGTACGAACAGAGAATAATGGCAGATCTTCAGCAGAGCGAAGGGGCCTGGACATGACAATCCCTAAAATAAAAAACCGAGGCAAACCTTTCCAGGGTGTCTTGCTCGATTTTGATCCGTTTAATATATGAAAAGAGCCACACCTAAAAGAAAGAGATTATTCACAAGTTCATAAAACATATTTCAGAGAATTGATCAGAAATGTTAAGCGTTATGTAGATGTTTGTAAGCAACCACCAGAATTTTAAAATGAGCCTTAAATATAACAGGAAGCTAGTGTAAGGGGGCATTGGAGGTGTGGCCAGAGAGGAAGTTGAGCCTGTAACGGGGTCAACTGGAAACGTGTACGGAGCAGATTACAGTAGTCCAGGCTAGAGACGAAAGCGGCATGGACCAGCACCTTGGCCAAATCTGGTGTAATATGGAGCAGATGTAAGCTATGTTTTTGAGATGGAAGTGGCAGGATTTGGCAAGTGACTGGACTTGGGGGAGGGGGTGAAGGAGAGGTTGGTAAAAGCACTTAATGTTTAAATATATGTAACCTTATAACTAAAGATACTGATCCAGTATAGTTAAAAAATACAATACTTTATTAGAAAAGATGAAAAATATAATAAAAAAAATATAATGAAATTAAACTAGTGCTAGCAGTCTTGCCAGTTACGAAATGCAGGAGTGCATAGTTACAATATGTATCTAGTACATGGTTAGTCTGTTGTTCGTTGAAGAATGATACAAAAAATCCTATGACTCCGACCTGATAAGTATTCTCGGTGTCCCAAGTGGTTTTCAGGCTGTTTAATGTTACAGAATTGCTGTGAAGATTGATGTGCTGCTGTGTAAAGGTCCTGGATAAGAATGGTAAATTGTCAGATTCCAATGATTATCAATGGATAAAGGAGCAGGAGCGGAGAAACACGTTTGGAAGCTGACACCTTACAATTCTTATCCAGTACCTTTACACAGCAGCACGAGATCCTGTAACATCAAACTGCTTGAAAACCACTCGAGACGCCAAGAATACTTATCAGATAGGAGTCATAGGATTTGTTTGTATCATTCTTCAAGAACCATGTACTAGATACATATTGTAACTATGTACTCCTTCTGTATTTCGTAACTGGCAAAACTGCTAGCACTAGTTTAATTTAATTATATTTTTTTAATTATATTTTTCATCTTTTCTAATAAAGTATTGTATTTTTTAACTACACTGGATCAGTATTTTTATAGTTAATAATGCTTAAAAGTATGTAACCTTATAAGTGCTTTTACAAATCTGCATATTGGTGAAAGAATGTGCACAATAGCTGTGAATACATAAGACTGGATATAAGGATCATTTTATACAATACACTGCATCTGTCAGGAATAGCTGATGCCCAACACACAGAACTTAAGTAAATATAAAAAAATAAAAAAATTCCAAGACGTATTTATTGCTTTGTAAAGTAATAAAATGTGAGCAGGATATTGCTTTGCTGCAAAGTGATTTGGATAGATTTGGGAACTGGGCACTAAAATGGCAGATGAGATTTAACGTAGAGGAATGCAAAGTTATGAATTTTGGGGTCAAGAAGTAGTGGTAGTGAATTTTATCACATGACAGGAGGCTTCCTATTTTGCATTTCTCTCTTTACTAAACTCCACAGCAGTAAAGAAAGTGAAACATTTAACCAATTAAAAAATGCAATAGGGAGTAGGAGTTCCCAACAATTAGGCTCCTCCTCCTCTTTCTTTACTGCTCCATCGCAGACAGGTCAGAGTTTTTGGCTCTCCCTTTTATATACATATATATATATATTGAATTTCATTGACTTTATTGATTTTTTGATTTATCATTACTATTATTGGTATTTGTCTATGGCTTGTAGTCAGCTACAGGTTATACACTTTCTTTATATTTGTGCTGTTATTTTTTGCCCTAGAATTTATCTTTAATTTCCCCTCAGATTTTTATTTACCTCAGAGTCATTTGTTTTATAGTTTTATTTTATTTTGTGGTTGGGGGCCCCCCTTCCCCCTCCCTTGGTACCGCACTGATCCTTTCCCCCTTGCTATACCTCTTCATGAGGTAATCTTTCTCTGTTATTCCCAGCGCAGAATCCCCGCGGTATTTGGTAACCGCACGACGGTTTTTTCTCCCCATTTGTCTCCTTACCCTATCTCGATCCTCTCAGCCGCGCCGGCGGCTCTGCCACTGCGCGTCACCTCACAGCGCGGCTCCCCTTTCCCGCCGGCATTCTTGCGGCGGCCATTTGCAATCTCGCGTCTCGCGAGATTGCGGCCGCCATTTTGAAGATTCAGTCCCGCGAACCGGCCGGCAGTTCTGTTTTCTATCCCTGGAGGTCAGTCCGCCCGATTTTTATTAAAACCTGCTGTATAAAAAGGCACTTAAGGGATCATAACCCTGTGCCTGTTAAGGGTGCTGCCCTATTACTTGTGCTGCTTATAGAGGTCGCCTTGTGGCCTCCTCTGTGACCCTGGGTGAGGCCCAGAAATACTAAAGCCCAATAGTGTGGTGGCATCAATATTATATACTAGTATTATTATTATTAGTCTTTTGTTATCATATTATTATATTACTGCTTTGGATTACCATTGACCTCTAATTCCCTAAATTTTCTAATATTCCCTGTGCCAGAAATATTACCCTCAATATGGAACCTGCTCAAAATTCAGCAGACCTCCAAACAATGATTAATGAGGCGGTAGCAGCCTCCATGGAGAAAGCTCTCTCCATTATGATGGCCTCTAATACTGATAAGAGGAACCCATCAAAAACCCACCGATCCCGACACGATTCGGATTCCGAAGATTCGGAACCACATACGAGCCACGATCCACCCACCAGCAAACGTCACTGGAAAGGGGAAAAGGGCCAACAGAACCCGACCAAGGGTAAGACCCCCGTAAAAAGGCTTAAGCCTTCAAAGGACAATACCCCGCCTCCGCCACCCGATTACTCCTCGGATGAGGAGGATGCGCACAAAAAGTCCTTGGCGATTCTGGATGAATGGCAGGCGGAGGGGTCAGACTCCTACGAGGACCCATGGGGCTCCGAGTCCGAATCCCAACCCGGACTCGTCACACATACGCTACTGGGAGATTCCCATTTACAGGACACCATGGATAATCCGCAAGAGGACGAGGACGTCATCTTTGACCCATCAGGTCAGAAGTTGTTTGATCCAAGGAACCTAAGACACCCTCGTTCAGGTGACTGGACACCCCCAGATCACCTCGCAAAATTCATGCATCTTTGGCTGAGGAAATCCATGGACAAGACGGTCCGCAACCGTCTACGTTCCGAATGCCCAAGACCTTCTTTACCCGATCACGTGGCGGAGACACCTGAATTTGACCAAGTGATTACCACTTTCATGTCCCGAGGTGGCCGGGACCCACGCAAAGGCGTGGAGAAGGGTTTCAGAGCAGTCCAAGACAAACTGCTAGACTCAATTGGACCGCTCTCCAGGATCATGTACCTAGCAGACGATGCCCTCTCAAAGGCTGACCAATTTGACGCGACTATGGTTCGCGAATGGGCTCATGATATTCGGGAGTGGGCACAAAGATGTTTCTGCTTTGTGGGTAACACGAATACAGCCCTCTCCTCCGAGCGGCGCAAGGCAGCACTACTCCGTATCGACGGAAAGTTGGTGGATTTGGGCACCAAAGAATTAGGTCCTCTGGCACAGGGCAAGCTATTTGGCGATCCTTTCCTCAAGGACTTAAACAAACACGTGAATATTTTTACTTCACTGAACAAAGCTCAGTCCTCTATGAGGAGAGTATTTAGACATAACCCCACCAGGGGTGTTTTTGGACGGGCTGGCCGCCAAAGGGGCCGTGCTGCCAGCCGTTTCTGGCCTTCAGGCCCCCGTACCTCCAGACCTCACTCTTTCTACCCAGAAGTGGGATACAGACAACAATCCTCATATACCCGAGGAGCAGATAGAGGCCGTGGACCACGTACCCGAGGCAGAGCACGTTTCTCCACAGGTAAGCAATCACCTAACACATTACCTTACTCCCCTTCCAGCAGGTCGCATATCTTTGTTTTTTCAGAAATGGCAGACCATCTCCACAGACGCGTGGATCTTACAAACCGTTCAGGGATACATCATCGACTTTACGTCACACCCTCGACAAACAGTCACACCGCACCCGATCAAATGCTCGGCGGAAGACGCTGAACTCCTACACAACGAGTTGCTGGACCTTCGATCGAAAGGCGCAATAGAACCAGCCTCCGGACCTCACGGTTTCTTCAGCAACATATTCCTGGTAAAGAAAAAATCAGGGGATTTTCGACCCGTCATAAATTTAAAAAGACTCAACGAATGCGTCACGTACAGACACTTCAAGATGGAAGGCATACACCTCCTGAGAGACCTACTACAGGACAGAGATTGGTTCACGAGACTGGACCTAAAGGATGCATACTTCTCAGTACCCGTCCACCTGTCCTGCCGACAATTCCTACGTTTTCACTGGCAAAACCATCCCTGGCAATTCACATGCCTCCCCTTTGGCCTCAGCTCGGCTCCATGGTGCTTCACCAAGCTACTGAAGCCAGTAGTCGCTCATCTTCGCGCACAAGGAATTCGTTGCATTATATACCTGGACGACCTCCTTCTGTTCTGTTCCGACAAGTCCAGACTGACGCAACACACGAACTATACCACGGACCTACCATCATCCCTGGGCTTCATGGTGAACTTTCAAAAGTCAGCCATTTCACCAGCTCAAACGGTGCAGTTTCTAGGTTTCGAGATAGACTCTACTACGAGCACCCTACGACTACCTGCATCAAAGATATCGAATATTCGCAAAGAACTGCGCAAGACCATTCGCGCCCACACCATTCCACTCCACTCCCTCGCTCGAATAGTGGGACTCCTCTCAGCCTCCATACAGGCGATCTTTCCAGGCCCTCTCCACTACAGGGCAATGCAACGCCTCAAAACATCCTTCCTCAGACACAACCCATCCTACGACCAACCAATTCCGATCACGGACGAGGTCAGGGACGAACTCAGGTGGTGGCTGGACAGCATGGAAGCATGGAACGGTCGAGCCATCTTCGGGAACACGCCCGACATAGTCCTGGAATCGGACGCCAGCCTCTGGGGATGGGGCGCCACGGGCGCAGGCACGTCAACAGGCGGGACCTGGACCTCACAAGACCTCAACTTGCACATAAACTGTCTGGAACTCCTGGCAGGTTCCTTTGCCATCCGCAGCTTGGCAAAAGAAAAGACGGACTGCTGCATCCTCCTAAGGATGGACAACATCTCCGCAGTCCGCTACATCAACCGTCTGGGCGGTGCCCGATCCCGGATTCTCTCGGAAATAACGAAGGAGATCTTCGATTTCTGCCTACCCCGCAACATCTCCCTCAAAGCGGAATACCTTCCCGGGGAAACAAACCTCACAGCGGACTGGTTTTCACGCCACTGGAGGGATGCCAGCGACTGGAAGCTGGATCCACAGATCTTCCAGGGTCTAGCGGCACACCGGGGTCCATTTCACCTAGATCTGTTTGCGTCTCGCAACAACAGACAAACGCGGGCATATTTCAGTTGGCTCCCAGACCCGGAGAGCAAAGCAACGGATGCTTTCCTACAACCATGGCCGATCACGGGAGCATATGCCTTTCCCCCCTTCGCCATGATAGCACGGACCATACACTACTTGAGACAGCAAAGAGTATCCCTGCTACTCATCACACCGCTATGGACAGGACAACCTTGGTTTCCGGACCTCCTAGCCCTATCTTACAAGGACCCGCTCCTACTACCCTCGCACCAGTATGCTCTCACAGATCCGAAAGGGAGCCCTCATCCACTCATCCTGGCCAATCGACTCACCCTAGTGGCTTGGACTCTTTCCGGGGTGCCTGGCAAGTCGGCGAACTATCGCAGGCTGCTAAGGACCTCCTATGGGACTCATGGGCTCCAGGAACCAGAAGATCCTACCTACACGCGTGGAATCGCTGGTCCAATTGGTGCTTGGAACGGAACGACGATCCATTTACGGCCTCTATTCCTACCATCATTAACTTTCTAACACAACTGTTCTCCTCAGGGCGATCATACAGGTCCATTAACGTAGTCCGCTCAGCCATCTCAGCGGCCCATATTCCCACACTGGGAATCCCAGTAGGAAAAGACCCACTGATTTGCAGACTTCTAAGAGGCATTCGATTACAACGACCTCCGGGACCAAAATACTCTCGACTCTGGGATGTCGAGGTAGTCCTCCGCTTCCTGAGAGAATGGCCGACCAACGACAATCTCTCCCTCCGGCAACTCTCTGCGAAGCTTACAATTCTACTTTGTCTAGTTTCATTCCGCAGGGTATCGGACGTCCGAGCGTTTGACATTGACGCGTTCTCGGTCTCTCCGGAGGGAGTCACATTCCAGATATCGCGTCGCACGAAATCTGACTCCGCGTCGGTCTTTTACCCTTTCTTTACTTCCGATCCTCAACTCTGCGTCGTGGCCACACTATGGCGATATGTGGAGGTTACGCGTCCGATACGGACTCCGGCCTCGGGACAACTCCTCGTGTCATACGTCCGACCACACGTTCCCATCACTACTACTACCCTAGCCAGATGGGTTCGGTGGATTCTTTCGTTAGCAGGCATAGACGCCTCCTTCGGCGCTCATTCGGTACGTGGGGCAGCGGCTTCCTCAGCTTTCACAGCGGGCGCCTCGCTAGCAGATATATTACGCTCCGCTGACTGGTCTAGGGAATCCACGTTTCGCACATTCTATTTCCGCCCGAACTCCAACGCGGCATTATCACTATTACAGCGTTAAAAAATGCAAAATAGGAAGCCTCCTGTCATGTGATAAAATTGAAGATTATGCTAGCGCCAGTGTACTTATGATCTTAATTTTAATAATGACAGGAGGCGAGTATTTTCCCACCCCTTCCCACCCTAGGGAAGATGGGTACATTCGATTTCTGATTTCTCCTATCTCATCTCTCATCTATATTTCTACTTCTGTCATAGCGAGATTTGTTCATATGCTAATACATTAGACGAGGATTAGTATATTCCTGTATGTACATCTATTTGTTTAATAATGTTGGTTATACTATTGCCATATAATATTGTTAACGGCCTAGGGTCACTGTGACAAACAGTTCAAAGATCCCATTCTAACCCATTTCACACTCTCGTTTCAGTTTAATTCGGTGTCAACTTGGAGGTTCTTCGGTACACTACCTGGAATTCTTCTTACTATATGAAGAACAGATGTTCACCCGTTGGTGCAGATTACAGTTTCATCACCCACTATGAACGTTTACCTGTTGTATTTACTCAGATGTTACGTATTACTCTTTATTTTACTATCACGATGTCGCTTCTGAAAGAGGGGGAGGAGCCTAATTGTTGGGAACTCCTACTCCCTATTGCATTTTTTCATTGGTTAAATGTTTCACTTTCTTTACTGCTGTGGAGTTTAGTAAAGAGAGAAATGCAAAATACTCACCTCCTGTCATTATTAAAATTAAGATTATAAGTACACTGGCGCTAGCATAATCTTCAATTAGGGATAATCACACACGAGAAGGTGTAACGGATCGCCTAGCACCGTGACTGGGAACCTCCGTTGAAGGATGCTCCTAGTGCTTCCTGAGGACTCCAAGCACTGCAGCAGACACCACAACCACCGAACCGGAGAAGCATACGAATGCTCTCAAGCATATAAAAGCTGTAAGCAGCTGAACAGGAAAAGCATACTATCAGCTTACACTCCTGGCAATCAGCATACAATCCAATTCCCCCAATAACAAGACGACACTTCGTTTTGAGGTCAAGCAGAACTGACTGTACTGGCACATACAGCCTCTTTTATTCCCAATCCACAAACTTAGTACTGCCCACAGGGTTTTACAGAACAACCAATAACACACGTACATTACACACATACACTCCCACACAACATCCTCCCCTCTGCCTGTGATATGATTACTGAACACAATGGTTAATCTAATTATCACAGGCAGAGAAATACAGTGTTATAAAACATATCACAGGGACCCCAAAACATGCAATAACCCCATAAAAAATATGGAACCGGGGGATCTGGGTGAACCACATATCCAAAATTCACCCAGATCCGTTCAGTAGTTTGGAAGATGCAGTTTAATGCAGATTCCGCAGAACATATACAGGCTATATGAAAAATAATAACTGTATAATGTGTCCCCTGTTGTATGGTTTAAAACTACTGAACGATGTCTTCGTGCACCAAATACTGGCGAGATGGCACCATGTAGAAAAGTCCAAACAGTGTCTGTTAGTTAAAATGGCCGCCATCCATTGTTCTCACCATGTGCCTCTGATACATGAAATGATGGCCACCCAGTAACTCCACAGTATGTACCCAGATGGTTCTTAAAGGGCCAGTAGCAGCATAATAAAATACAATATGCCCAAATACTGTATTTAAAGGGCCAAATCTCCCAGGGCCATCGTCAGCAGGCAGGAGGCGGGCAAACAGGCTTCTCCAATGCCCAGTGGCGAAGTTGGTTTCGCCACAGAAGGAATTGGGAATTTTAATAAACAAATTAGGCGGCAATATGCAATGTCAATCTGCAGTTGCTAAGGCCAGTAAGGTTTTGTCATGTATAAATAGGGGCATAAATTCTCAAGATGAAAATATAATTTTGCCTCTTTATAAATCGCTGGTAAGACCACACCTTTAATATGCTGTGCAATTTTGGGCGCCTGTTCTAAAGAAAGATATCATGGCACTAGAAAAAGTCCAGAGACGAGGTACAAAATTGATAAAAGGAATGGAGCATTTTAGTTATGAAGAAAGGTTAAAAAAAATAAATCGGGGGCGGGGCCGGGCCGCCGAGCTGAAAGGCAGCAGAACACCATGGCTCCTGGCCTGAGCCCTGGAAAACTGCAATAAATCCACACTCAGACCACCCCAAAGCAGAAATAAGCTACATATACTTAACAAGAAACATTTAAGCTTTATGGGGATACCAAACCGAGGCCGGTTTTGGGCCGGGAACACCGAAATTAACAAAGCGGCCTACTCGTCATCATAAGCCTGGATGATGGCAGCCCCTGAAGAGGCACAGATAACTGACTAGCAGCCCAGAGATCAAGGTATACCAGCTTTAAGGCCCACATGGAGGCCACACAGTTGCGGATGATGGCCCGGCTCCGCTCCCCCCCCCGGCCGCATGGAAGCGGCACACTCCAAGCCGGAGGAAACCGCGCGGGGCCCGAGCCAACCACCTGAACAGGTAAAGGATGTCAGACAGAGCCCGCCCGAGGATTCACTCTAGGCATCAGGGGGGTCTGGCATGGACGGCTCGCACGGGCCCTGGTAAGGCCGAGCACTGGACGGATCCTCCATGCTGTGTCACTGACCGCTGGGGAGTGGGCGCCAAGACCTCTGGGTTTGTGGGGTCCCCGGAGAGACCTGTCCCCGAAGCCGTGAGCCCTGTGGGATGGGACCGCGCTACCCCCCCGACGGACCGGTGGTCGGGGGGGATGGGCACCGACTCCAAATGTGTGGCCAGCACCGGGTGAGACATTGGAACGCACACTTCCAGGGACTCAAGTGAAGCTGGGGAGGTGCAGGGAGCTGACAACCAGCGGACTTTGTGGGGGGGTCCAACGGACAGTTTGCACTCCTGAGTGCCCACGGTGCCACAAGGGACCCGACCGGTGAGCGGAGATCGGCATGGGGAGGACGGAAGGAGGCCTGGCTACCCGGGGACGGTGTGGTAGCAGTGCCATGAGAGACTCCCCTGAGACGGCCATGTAGACTAACATGGCCACCCTGCAGTTTATAGCTCACATTTTTCATTTTTAAGTTTGCTTCTACTTTATTAGCATATATATTCACGTACTTAAAGAATTTAGAGAACGCTAGATCGCTCAATTAAGCTCATGCACTACTGTTAGTTGCCCTTAAATCATAAGCATTCTTTAATTCCATGAGTCAGAATTATAATAGACTAGGCGGTCACAACGTACATAAGGTGATGTGTTTGTTTATATGCTCTTTTCAGTCATAAATATGCAAGGCAATATAGATTGTGGAGCATCTGACTAGGCAGCAAAGACTTAACATTGTGTTTTTAACTTACTACCATAAGCTTTTTCTTCTCCTTTTTTTTTTTTTCTCTTTTTCCGTATATTAAAACATTAACGAGTCACATGTTAAGGGTCAAACAGCCCACAGATTTAGATGACTACTAGCAGTAAACGACAGAGTACAAAACAGTCTGCCTCTTCCACAGATAGATAGCCATCCGAGCACAGTTCCCAACCCAGCTCCATACACTCGCGCACACACGCAAAGCTAAACATTTAAACGGTGGCTGTACACCGAGGTAAAGCGCCTCTGTGTGGGCAAACTTTAAATTCTTGCCCCTATGTGCATAACGACTGCCTCTCATCATATGGAAATAATTACACACTTTATATGATTTAATTTTTAAATTTTTACATAGACATGCTGCAATTATTACCTGAGCTTCGCGAATGTAAAGAACTATGTATACAGCCCGCACCGACATTGCTTTTTTGACCTTAGGGCGACACTGCATATGTTGGCGCATCCGGGTGCTCGTTACTGTTGCACTGAGCATAGCCATATAGAAGCTCTACGTTACTTTTAAGTCTTATCTGGGAACAGAGGCATGAGGGGAGGCACGAGACACACTTCTACGCAGCGATAGCTTCCACCTCAAGCAGCCAGTTATCCTCACGTAATTATACTCCCTCCCAACATTATTTACTCACATTTTTATTCATTTATCCATTTTTTTTATTTTTTTATTTTCACATACAACCCGGCCGCACGTGCATGGACCAAGGTCCCTGGAATCCATGAGAGGACACAGTCAGGGATCTTCACGTAGGGCCCTATCCCTTAGGCCCCCTTATACTTGGGGGCACCACCCCCTTTTTTATTTTTATTTTTATTTTTTTTTATTTTTTTTATTTTTTTTTATTATTATTTTACCTGGCTCACAGAACTTAACTATCACACAAGCTACTTAAGCCCTGTACCCGCTTTTCCACATATATATGGCTCAATGTACACAGCTGTAATCCAACATATCGAGTTAGTCCTTCGTGCCACCTTAAAAACCTAGCCTGTATAACCCAGCTTGCTTTACATCATAAAAAGCTTGATCATTAATTGTATGTTTAATCCTTGCATGTCGATTTACAATAGGCACCTACCTCTTGTTAGCAACCTGACCTAGAAATGTTTGTTTAGCCTGTTCATTGTATACTCTAAAAATGTGCAGAATTATCGCATGCCATGTACAGAGTCAACTGCCTGTATTACCAGGCTTGTCGTTGCTGTCGTGGTAATACAAGTCAAAATGTATTTTATTGAATGCACAACAAAATAATAAAATAAGTTTTAAATAAAAAAAAAAAATCTGTTTAGTTTGGAAACCCGGTGCCTGAGAGGGGATATGATAACATTATACAAATATATTCGGGGCCAGTACAAACCTTTATCTTGAAATCTATTCATAAACAGGGCTATACATAGGACACAAGGTCACACATTTAGGCTGGAAGAAAGGAGATTTCATCTAAGGCAAAGAAAAGGTTTTTGTTTTTTTACAGTCAGAGCAATAAGGATATGGAATTCTCTGCCTGAGAGGTGGTTTTGTCAGAGTCATTACAGATGTTTAAACTGCAATTGGATAAATACTTGCAAAAACATAACATACAGGGTTATAATTTCTAATTAGTGGGGTAATAGCTACGTGATCCAAGGAGAAATCTGACTGCTATTTTGGGGCCAAGAAGGCATTTTTTCCTAGTTTGTGGCAAAATTGGAAGCGCTTCATTCTAGGTTTTTTGCCTTCTTTTGGATAAACAGCAAAAACATACGTGAGGAAGGCTGAACTGATGGACGCAAGTCTCTTTTCAGCTATGTAACTATGTAAATAAAATACTTAAGTAAGTTTAATTTAATTTAAAAAAGCATTTATACTAAAAAATGGCATAACTCAAAATCTTGATTTAGACCGTGAGGGAAGAGTGTCTTAAAGTTATAGATACATTTAATTTCTTCTCCTATTTTTTTTTTTTTTGTTAAAATCCCCTCCCCTCCAATCTTTCTATTTCAATTTAACCCCTTAAGGACACATGACATGTGTGACATGTCATGATTCCCTTTTATTCCACAAGTTTGGTCATTAAGGGGTTAATAGCGCAGAAGATGATGTTCTTGGGGTCACTGTTATGGTGTGTTTTGAAATGGTTGTGGCAAAACTAGCCACTTAAGACTAGCCATATTGAATGTGTGTATATCCCTGTTTGAGCTGTCCAGTAAGGTTTTGTCATCTATAAATAGGGGCATAAATTCTCAGGATGAAAATATGTTTGCCTCTTTATAAATCACTGGTAACACCACACCTTGAATATGCTGTGAAATTTTGGGCACCTGTTCTAAAGAAAGATATCATGGCACTAGAAAAAGTGCAGAGACGAGCTACAAAACTGATAAAATTAATGGATTATTTTAGTTACGAAGAAAGATGAAAAATTTTTAATCTCTTTAGTTTGGAAAAACGGCGCCTGGGAGGGGATATGATAACATTATACAAATATATTCAGGGCCAGTACAAACCAGTACAAACCATTATCTTGAACACTATTCATAAACAGGGCTATACATATGACACGAGGTCACACATCTAGGCTGAAAGAAAGATTTCATCTAAGGCAAAGAAATTTTTTTTTTACAGTAAGAGCAATAAGGATATGGAATTCTCTGCCTGAAGAGGTGGGTTTTATCAGAGTCCATACAGATGATTAAACTGCAATTGGATAAATAATTGCAAAACATAACATACAGGGATATAATTTCTAATTAGTGGGGTAATAGCTGTTTGATCCAAGGAGACATCTGACTGCTATTTTGGGGTCAAGATGGAATTTTTTCCTAGTTTGTTGCAAAATTGGAAGCGCTGCAGACTAGGTTTTTTGCCGCCTTTTGGATCAACAGCAAAAACATATGTGAGGAAGGCTGAACTTGAAAACAATGAACATACCAAGGGTCAAGGAATGTATAATTCAGAATAGTTAGGAGCCAAGCCAAAGGTCAAGTTATACAGAGATCAGATAGTCAGAAGGAAAGCCAAGGTCAAATACACTAGAAACAATACCAGAAACGCACTCCCGGATAACCACAATGGAAACCACGACAGGGCACAGAGAAATGGACAAAAAAGGTTTATATAGCCTAAGGTGCTCCCTGATTGGCTGTAGGGGAGCATGTGATAGTGGGTGTGTGTGTGTGACACACCCACA